GAAGAATTACTGTGGTTTTTTTTTTTGGAGGTGTCATAATTCTTGCCTTTTCTGTTTTATGCATCTTTAAGTTGACATCTGCACATAATGCTGTAAATGTTGCTTCTTCCGACTGTTTGGATTTTCTTTAGTAGGGGAGGACAATTTCCTGAAGATATATCTGTGGTATAGGTTAGGTCGGGTACTTTGGCTTTGGTTTTGAATAGATAGTAGTGTAGTGTTTATATAATTTCTTTGGCTGTAAACAGCATCAGTGGCTTAAGGTATGGTTTGTACTGCAGGCTATGGTGAAGTTTTGCTGAGGACAGGGATGCCAACTGGGCCAGTCCTCAGGCCCCAGAGTTGGCAGCAGTGAGCCAAGCTTGCCTGTCTTTGAGACCCAGAATGCATTGTTTGCTGGCACCTGTGTTAGCAGGCAGGCCAATTTTGGGGTCCACTACTTGCTCAGATGCCAGTAGTGACAGGGGTGAGCTCCTTTTTAAAATTGTTTATTAGAGGCAGGTCTCTCTATGTTGCCCAGGCTGTTCTCTGACTCCTGGGCTCAAGCATTCTTTCTGCCTTGGTCTCACAAACTTCTGGGATTACATGTATGAGCCACCATGCCTGGCCCGTAGATATTTTGATACATATTATGTATCAGATCAGGGTAATGAGCATATCTGTCATCTCAAATACTTACCATTGTTTAAATGTTGAAAACATTAAGTATCCTCCCTCTAGCTATTTGAAACTATATATTATTATTAACTATAGTCATCCTACATTGTTATAGATCACTAGCACTTATTCATCCTATCTAGCTGTAATTTTTGTATCCTTTAACAAATCTCTCCCTAGCCCTTCCCTCCTCCACTCCCCGTTTCAGCCTTTCCTATCGTCTGTTCTACTTAATAACTTTTTTTAGCTTCTACATGAGTGAGAACATATGGTGTTCAACTTCCTGTTGCTAGCTTATTTAACTTAATATAAAGTCCTCCAGTTCCATCCATGTTGCCATGAATGGCAGGATTTCATTTTTTATGACTGAATAGTATTTCATTATGTGTATAGTCCACATTTTCCTTTATCTATCCATTATTGAACATGTAGTATAATTCCGTATCTTGGCTGTTGTGAATAGGGCTACAATAAACATGGGAGCGTGGTTGTCTCTTCTATTTAGTGATTTCTTTTCCTTTGGATAAATGTCCAGTAATGGGATTGTGGGATCATCTGGTAGTTCTGTTTGTACTTTTGTTTGTTTTGAGATAGTCTTATTCGCAGTGGTGAGATCATAGCTCACTGATCATTTTAGGCTGAAACGATCTTCCCACCTCAGCCTCCCAAGTAGGGGGGACTTACAGGCACACACTACCATCTCTGGCTAATTTTTATAAATCTCACTTTGTTGCCCAGACTGTTCTTGAACTCCTGGCTTTGAGTGATCCTGCTGCTTCGGCCTCCTAAGTGCTGGAATTACAGGCATGAGCCACCCACCCAAGCCCAATTTTAGTGTTTTAAGGAACCTTCATTACTGTCCTCCATAGTGACTATTATAGTTTGAATTCTTGCCAACACTATATGAAAATTCTCTTTTCTCCACATCCTTGCAATCAGCTGTTATTTTGTCTTTGTTTTGTTTTTTGTTTGAGATGGGGTCTCTTACTCTGTTGTCCAGACTGGGTTGCCGTGTCATGATTATGGCTCACCACAGTCTCAAATTCCTGGGCTTTAGCTGCCCTTCGAACTCCCACTTGAGTATTCAGGACTCTGGGCACGTACCACCACACTCGGCTAATTTTTAAAATTTTTGTAGAGACAAGGTTTTACTGTGTTTCCTGGGCTGGTCTCAAACTTCTGGACTCAAGCAGTCCTCCCGCATAGGCTTCCCAAAGTGCTGGGATTATAGTTGTGCGCCGAGCCATTTTGTCTTTTTTTATAATAGTCATTCTAACTGGGGTGAGATGATACTTCATTGTGGTTTTGTTTCATGTTTCTCTGATGATTAGTGATGTTGAGCATTTATAAATATATTTGCTGAATATATATATGTGTATATACACACACACACACATATTCTTTTTAGTGTTTGAAGAATACATGTGTAGGTTTGTTACATAGATATATTGCATGATGGTGAAGTTTAGACTTCCATTGAATCTGTCATCAATTTAGTGAGCTTGTATGTCATCTTTCGAGTAGTATCAGTTCAGATCGTATATCCATTTAAAAAATCTGATTGTTATTTTTCTGTTGAGATGGTTGCATTCCTTATATATCCTGAGTATCAATCTCCTTTCAGATGAGTAGTTTGCAGATTTTTTTCCCCATTTTGTAGGTTGTCTTTTTACTCTGTTGTTTCCTTTGCTGTGCAAAAGCTTTTTTAGTTTGATACAATCCTTTTTTTTAAAATTTTTGCTTTTGTTGCCTATGCTTTTGAGATTTTATTCATAGAATATTTTTCCACACCAATGCCATGAAATATTTTCTTCTAGTGGTTTCATAGTTTGGGGTCTTATTAGGTGTTTGATCCATTTTAAGTTGATTTTTGAATAGGGAGAGAGGTGAGGATCTAATTTCATTCTTCTGCATATGGTTATCCAGTGCCCTGCACCGTTTATTGAAGATAATTGTCTTTCCTCCAATGGACGTAAAATAGTCCCTATTTGCAGATGACATAATCTTATACATAGAAAAATGTATAAATACTCACGCAAAAAAAGTTTAGATAAACAAATTCAGTAAAGTTTCAGGATACAAAATAATCATACAGAAATTACTAGCCTTTCTCTACATAAGCAGTGAACTAGCTGAACAAGGAATCAAGAAGGCACAGTACAAGTCAAGCAGGTATAGTAGCTACAGAAAAAAAGAAAATTTAAAAAAATACTTAGCAGTTTTTTTCTTTTTTTTCCTTGTTATTTCTTACCAAGATAACCCATTCCCCAGTTATCTCTTGAATATTTCTCTTACCACCCACATATCTTTGGTCCTCTTGAAGAAATTTATCTCTTTATCTTCTAGATTAATAAATTGTATAGCTGGCTCTGCTAAACACTTTGCAGTGATTCTCCATGTTGCTTAAATAAAGTCAAAACTCCTTAATATGGCCTACAAGCCCCTCGTTGCTGTAAACCTGTTTGGTCTTATTCCTTTCCTACACTATTTTGCATGTTAAATGTCTTCAGTTCCTAACTGATTTCATTTCTTTTTGAGTGTGATCTTCTTGCTTACTGGGTCACTTTTGTTCTGTGCTTGCTTGATTCTTACATGACCAGTAGGTCTTAGGTTAGACATCAATGTCTTTGCAAGCCATTTCTCACAGAATTTATTGTGTGTATGTAAGGTACAAGAATAGCTTGTTTTATTTTGCTTTGCTCTATTGCACTTTGCATATACTTTGGTTTTTGTTTTATTTTTTTTACAAATTGAAGTTTTGTGAAAACCCTGCCTTGATCAAGTAACCAAGTTTGTTTCCATTTTTCTGCAACATCATGTGCTCACTTCATGACTCTGTCACATTTTGGTAATTCTCAGAATGTTTCAGACTTTTTCATTGTTATTATATCTGTTATGGTGATTTGTGACTAGTGATCTTTGATGTTACTATTATAATTGTTTTAGGACACCATGAACCACACCCAAGTAAGACAGCAAACGGAACCGATAAACGTTGTGTGTGTTCTGACTGCTCCACTGACCAGCCAGTTCTTCATCTCTCTCCCTCTCTTTGGGCCTCCCTATTCCCTGAGACACAGTGGTATTGAAATTAGGCCAATTAGTAACCCTCTGGAATGAATCCACCATTCTAGAATTCACTAAGAATATTAGTGATTAATGGAAGGACTCCAGAATATCAACAGTAACAGCAGTTTGGAAGAAGTTGATTTCAGTCCTCATGACTGACTTTGAGGAGTTCAAGACTTTAGTAGATGTGATGGAAATAACAAGTGAACTAGCATTAGAAGTAGAGTCCAAAGACGTGACTGAATTGCTGCAGTCTCATAATAAAACTTGAACCGATGTAGAGCTGCTTGTTATGGGTGACCAAAGAAAGTGCTTTCTCGGTATGGAGTCTGCTGGGGAAGATGCTGTGAACATTGTTGAAGTGACAAGAGAGGATTTGGAATATTATATCAACTTGGCTTATGGAGTGGCAGCAGGGTTTGAGAGGATTAACTCCAACTTTGAAAGTTCTGCTGTAGGCAAAATGTTATCAAGCAGCATCACATGCGACAGAGCAATGTTTTGTGAAAGGAAGATTCTGTTGGTGTAGCAGACTTTGTTGTCTTATTTTAAGAAGTTGCCACAGCTACCCTAGTGCAGCCTTCATCAACCAGCACACTGATTAGTGAGCAGCCATCAGCAATGAGGCAGTACCCTCCACCAGCAAAAGATTAGGACTATGAAAACTCGGATAATTGTTAGCATTTTTAATCAATTAAGTATTTTTAACTTTAGGCATGTGCATTGTTTTTTAGTCATACTGCTATTGCATACTTAATAGACCACAGTATAGGGTAAACATAATTTTCACATGCAGTGGAAAACCAAAACATTTGTTTGACTTGCTTTATTGTTATATTAACTTTATTGCAGTGGTCTGGAACCAAATCTGCAATAACAACAAGGCATACTTGCACTTGTGTGTGTTTCTGTGATACCCTACTCTTATTGTACTACACTATTTGAATAGTCTTTTTCTTATTATCCTTTACTTTATCATATGCATTTTGCCTTATATTATTCTTCATTTCAGTCCCCAGTGGCTGGCATATATAAAACCTCACTAAACATTTATTTAATTTAATGGTTTTGAAGATACCACAATGTTTTACATCTATTTAAAAGATCATTTTGGTTATAATATAGCTTCAGTTGGGAGAAGAATGATTAGAAAAAATTTTTTTTAGGTTTCTAGTTAATATCTGGATTGGATTTTTTAAAAGACTCTTGGTAAAATGTTTTTATAATTTGATTATAGTTTGAATAAAAAATATTATTTCTTCACTCCCATGCAGTTAAAGCCTTCCATCTGAAGTATGATGAAGTTCGTCTAGATCCGAATGTTCAGAAATGGGATGTAACAGTATTAGAACTCAGCTATCACAAACGTCATTTGGATAGACCAGTTTTCTTAAGGTTTTGGGAAACATTGGACAGGTAATTCTGATTCTAAAATATGCCTTTCTGTGGTTTAATGTAATAAGTTTTCTGTCTCCTTAGTTAAATTTTAAGGTACTTTTGTGAGCCATATTCCCCGCTTCCCTTCTTTGAACATAGTCAAATTTGATTTTTTATCTACAGTAGGTCATTAACAAATACCTTTGATAGTTTTATTTTAGAAACAGATGGAGAAAAGGTTTATAGCCTAGTAGAAGGAATGGAGTCAGAGAATATAGATCTTGTCTTGGTTTTGTGATCTGGCTCTAATGAACTCTGTGACCTTTCTGCACCTTATTTTTTGTCTGTCTGAGGAACTTGGATTAAGTGATGTCTGTGTTTTTTGCAAGCATCGAAACATCTCCGACTCTAGATTTAATTGTTATGGGTAACTCTTGAAAGAAGTTCGGTTTTTAAATTTATTTTCATTGCTATTACGAATAGTGTTTATAAAGTCCTTTACAGATAACAGCTTTATAATTGGCAAATTTGAGAACAGCGTATAATTACAGTAAATACCACTGAATTTACTCTTCTCTTTGGAGTTAAAGTCTGTAACTTTAAAGTCCTTAAAGTCTGTAACTTTCCTGGTGTACGTCTCTCACTGGATTTTTATAGGTGATTGAGGTAACCCAAAATAACCTATTATATATGTATTTAAAGAAAACAGTTATTTCAGCTGGAAGCTCTTAGATTATAGAACTTAATAAGAAGAATATTTGTTCTAGCTTACTTAACAAGTTCTTGTATTCTCAGAGGTTACCAGTATTAAGTTTCCAGTTTTTTAGAAAATAAAACATCCTGTTCTACTGCAGATTTTAAGTTTTACAAAAGTGAACTTATTTTTTATATGTAATGCTACCAAAATTTTAGAATTCCTATAGTCATTATAACCTATTAAAATACTTTTTTTCAGGTATATGGTAAAGCATAAATCCCACTTGAGATTCTGAATTATTTGGCTCCTCCATTTCTGGAAGTTTGGACTAAGAAGCATGGATATACCTTGATATAAAGACTGAGACTCAAGCTTTATGAATTTATCAGGAACTTACAATGAAGGAGGTCACAGATAAATCTTTTATAAGACCTTATTTGATGCTTCGTGCTTCAAAGGGATGATGCCTGTCATCCATATAAGCAAACTTTTTGGCTTACAACTATTTTTTTAATATTAGTCTTCTAGTCTGTAATGGAAATTGTATATTTTAATAGAAGTTTTTTCTCCATTGGTTAACTTAGCATTACTTAAAATTTGTTTCTTTAGAAAATAAATGCAGGCTACAAATGTGTGTATATTTAGAGGCTATCTGAGCCATCTTGCTTCTGATTTTTCATTGCTCTGTTTCCTTTTACTGAAAGTGCTTTGTTATGAATGGTATTAAATTTTAGTCTGTGGAACATCCAGAACCAAGCAAAGGGATGTGACTATTTTGAATGAATCAAAATGTCAACCTGTATGTATACTATATCTGTACTTACTCTTCATTTTAAAAGAATAATGAAAAATCTAGAACAATTCTTCAGTTTTGGTTGAACTGTTTAGCCTTTTCAAGACTTCTTTACTTATAAATTGAATACATTTAAGAATGTACATTCTTCTCATTGACTTTGATGATTTTAAAACTTAGAATCTTTCTATCTGTGATATCTTTCCATTTGAAAAATCTCAAAACACAGATTAAAAACTAAATAGGCTGTAGTACTTTTTATTTTGGGAGCCAAAGTAGGAATTGGGGGAAGGAATATGTATCAGTCCTATTATATGTAGTATAATTTTAACTTCCTTATCTTTTTTCATTAGTTCATCTTTGCTTCTTATATAGTATAGGATTTTGAGTCTTCTATTTTAGCCTTGTTGATCTTAGAGTCCTTATCTTCCATTATTTCTAAATATTGATAAACTTCCAGGCACCAAAGAACACATTTGCTTAAGTGTCTGAACAGAAGCAAGATACAAACACTGGTATTTTTGTGTGTGTATTCGATATGGTGTAAAATATAAGACCTATATTTTAACTTAGTAAAATATTTTGCTATTTCTCTACTTTAGACAGAATGTTGCATCCAAGGTACAACGAATGACTACTTTTCTTGAGTCTTGATTTTACCTTTTATTTCTTAAAAGCAACTGGGAACCTTTACTCTTTTTTTTTTTTGGTCATTAGAATTTTTACTGATCATTCAGTCTTATGTCATTTTTCCTCTATTTTCCCCATTGATTCTCTCTTAGATTAACATATTTTTAGTAAACATTGAGCTCTTTCTTAGGTGTTAAACTGACATTAGCTAGCCTCTTTATAATTTAATGCTATCATAAAAATGAGAAGCAATTATTATTTATTTTTTAAGTGACCATGTAAGACTATGCCAATAGTAAATAGAGATATTTATTCACATGGAATTCATTCTCAAGGCTCATCAGAAGAAAGCAGTCAGTATTTCAAAGTATTAGATTTTAGTATATTTATGAGGTTTGAACAGATTCTACCCCTATTTTCTTCACTTCTTCTTAGCATCTTCTCTCCTTAAAGATAAAAGAAAACTCAGATGTGTTCACATTAGACTTTCTCAGCATATAAATCTGTTTTCAGAAAAAATTATGTATTATGTAAACTTTTTCCATGATGAAATAGTCAAAGATCAGAATCTGTAATATTTTTATGTAAGATTATTTGTTAAGACTACTACAAGTGGCTGTGAACTACCTTTCCATAAAGATTTTTGGTATTTGTACTTATATATGAAATTTACTTGATATGGAGTATGGTTAAAATTGGGAACATCTACTTTGAATAGGGTTTATTTTTCTATCTTGAATTTGCCTTATGTATATTCAAAGGCTTCTGGAAATATTGTATGGAACATTAGGAAAAGTACAAATATGCTCTACCATGTATTTTAAAATCAGACCCTTATATATACTTGTTTTCTTTTTTTTGTGTGTGACAGTTCAGTCCCTTATTTAGGTTCATGTAATTAAGTTTATAGCTATTAATTCTAAAACAAAAACCAAAAAACTTACAGCCAATGACTCTTCATTCTCCCATGACAGTCCTACAGCAGCACCTAACACAGTGCCTTGCACATAGTAGGCATTCAGTAAATATATGCATGAATGAGTAATGTATTTTCAGTGCAGTGTAACTGATTTATTACAAAGAAGTAGTTTGACTATACTTGGTCTTGGAGTTTTAGAAAACAGAATTACAGGGAATGGAGAGACAGAATTAGATATTTTAATGGAAATAAAGTACAAATTAATAATTTACCTATATGTTACTGTTAACTGGAGACACCCTGTATCACTTGTAAAGGAAAGCTCTGTTTCTTTATTCATAGAACATTCTTCAGAGTCAGGGAACAGTAAGAACCATGTAGGCTTAATCAGTAGCTCTCAACCCTGACTGCATGTTATAATCATTTGGGGGGTGTTAAGAAAATACCCATGCCTGAATCTTGATTCTGATATTCTGACTTAATTTGCTTGGGATGAGACCTGGCCTTGTCGCCAGTATGTTTTAAAAGTTTTCCAGGTACTTTTAATGTGCAGGAAGGATTTAGAGTTGCTGGTTTAATTTGTTATTGAAAGCAACGCAAAATTAAATGTTGTGTTACCCCGTTCTTTTCTTTGTGTGTATGTGTGTGTGTCCAGTTTGTTTGTTTGTTTTGTGGCTACCCTTTGTACCAGACTATCCCCATTATTGGTGGTATTGGCCTATATTCCCATATGACAAATTCAAATCTTAATTATTTATTTAATGTAGAAGGAATATTTTGCTGTTTAATATTTAAACAATGTTTAATATATTTCATTATTAACTAGTATTATAGTTTATGGTTTTTTTCCCATGTGTTCATATCCTTTACTAACTTTTTATTTTTAGCAGCACAGCAGTAATCCATGCAGAAACAACTAATTCATACTGAGGAAAATCTCATAATTTTTAAAATAGGAAGAAGTAAAGCATTAATTTCTTATCTGCCATGCAGAGTTAGATGGATACAGTCTACTTATGAAAGGAAAGAGACATACTTTTTAATTGGTCTACACAGAAAAACAAAAATAAACTATTCATTTAAATAATATTATCTAATAAACATTGAAGGAAATAATATTTTTCCTAAATAAACATTTTGTGACTCCTAACACAATTAAAGTGATGACATTGCCTTTATTTGGAGGGTGGGAGGGAATATTTGTTGAATTAATACAGTATATGAAATTATTTGAGACTAGCAGCATATTTTATAATATTACCAGTAAAACAATGAGAAAAGCTGGTCAAAATTAATGATTTAGAAAGTGGCTTTAAACTTTGTGTTTTGAAATTGCATGTTTTAACTCAAAATTATAATGTAATTATTTCAAATTTTTTTCCAGAGAAGTTTATTAAAGCCTTCATACACACATACTTTCTCTAAAAATATTTTTTTGTCTTTTGTTCTCTTGAGTCAGAGTCTTGCTCTTTTGCCCAGGTTGAAGTGCAGTGGCACAGTCTCAGCTCACCACAGTCTTGACCTCCTGGGCTCTGGTGATCCTTAAGTCTCAGCTTTCCAAGTAGTGGGGACTACAAGTGTGTGCAGTTGTGCCTGGGTAATTTTTATCGTTTTTTGTAGTGATGGGGTCTTACTGTGTTGCCCAGGCTGGTCTCAAACTCCTGGGCTCAAGAAATCCTCTTGCCTCGCCCTTCCAGTGTACTGGGATTACTGGCATGAGGCACTCACTGCATTCAGCCTGGATCGTTAAAAAAAAAACAAAATTGTTGGTCTGTCTGAAGTTGATAGAAAATGCTGAGGAGAAATGATTTATAAAATAAGAACTATAGAAATTTGTTCTCAATTGAAAAGTTGATAGCTGCTGTTTTCTTTAAAAAAAAAAAGACAACAAAAATTAAATTTAATTATTTTAGTCTTAATATTACTTGGCTGAATTTGTACTGATCACTTGTTTAAGACTCGCTTGGCTATTCTAATGACAGCATATTAACTTTAGAAATAAAAAAAGAAATGACTGATTTTGACTTTAAGTATTGGAGTAGGAATTTTGAAATGCCATGTTTTATATGTTCTGACATATACCGCCACATTTGGAAGTATAGTGACCCCAGCATTGTTTGTATATTTATTGGCATAATAACTAAGGAAAAAATTCTAAATGTATTAAATGTATAAATAATTCTATTTAGTAAATGCATAATAGTAGTACTTGCAGGTTATTGTTCTGTTTGGAAGTTTTTGTATGTTATGTTAGGTAGTGTTTCTAAAAGTATCTTGGAAGAGATAAGAATGTGCCGTTTGCTGAAAAGCAGTAAGCGTTTTTATACGAGTAAAGCTAATGAAACAAAACTAGCTTTATTGCCAAAATTCAAGAAGTGGGTGATACTATGTCAACTTTAAGCCAGTGATCTGTCTGAGAATTTTGTTTACCATTGCTATCCACTTTAAATTTACCAGAAGCTACTCACCAAGTAATGCAGTTCTTGTACGTGGAGTAGGCACCGTGATTGTTGAGTCGCCAATTGATACTACTTCTCAAAGTGTTTCTTGACTAATGCTTAAGTTTGTGGTGCTTTGTGACCTGATAATATGTTCTACTCATTCCAATTCCATTTTTGGTTTTTAAATTTAAGATTTAATTGTGAATAAAACATTTTGTAGTACTTAATATTATGAATTTGGGGATATTTCCCTTCCCCTTGTCCAACCAAAAAAATCAAAAAGGATTCATACCAAGAAAACAAACTGTATTATGGACTGGGATGTAATCTTTTTTTTCTTGAGATTTGTCGGGCATAGTATTTCTCTATTTTGGAAATAAGTTTTCACTTTGAAAACTAATGAGTTAAATTACAGCTTCTGTTAAAGAGTTAAAGTAATGTAGAGAATGATAGTTCATAAAACAACAAGCTCCATGCTCTGGTTAACTTGCAGTTTGATAATAATAGTCAACTGTTCTGTTATTATAATGGAATTAAGAATGTGTCCTGGTAAATTACATTGCCTTTACAGTTTGGGTGTCCTGATTTTAACATAGTTTCATAGCAGACTATATTCTCATATAATCAAATCATTAACAGCATCATCCTATCAGTGATACCAATAATTGTGAATCTTCTGCAACAAATTTTTTTAATGAAGAGTTTAATGGACTATATTCAACTTAATTTTCATTCAGTTCATAAGTGCCCACTGCATATGTATTTTATTCTGCTGCTGTGTTCCTTTGATCATCTGCTCTTGGGTGAGCATTCGTATAACTAAAATAGATACAGCATGAGTTGTAAATGCTGTTGAATTTTTTTAAAACTCAAAGGAGCGAGTATATAAATAGCAGCACACTGCCAAATTAGCTTTTTTCTCTCGTTTTCTAAAACATGTTTCTTTTATATTTAATCATTAATAATCAGTATTTATGGTGATTTGGAAGAATTTTTCCTCCAAATTTTCTTAAATGACCATAGAAAACATTATAGAGTAGCTCTGGAGAAATCTGTGCTGTTGGTTGAATCAGTCTAATAATTATTTGTAGATCTTTAGATACAGAGTTATTTATAATTTATAATTCACCCTCATCTAGAGAGTGCTGATTTATTTTGCATAACAAAATAGGGCTGAGGCCATAGTGAAGCAGAAGACATTTGAGGGATACTTTTATTAGACTGTGCTTCATTTGTCAACAAGTTCCAAGTGGA